TCCCATCCAAACATCAGGAAGTAGGGGGACTCCCCAGTCACTTGATGGGGAGTAGTATTACAACAGAAGAGTAGTTGAGGCAGTGCAGAGACCCAGTCCTCCTTCTGCGAACTGGGCAGCGTACGCAGAAGATTGTGCAGCGTCCGGTTAAAACACTCACACTGCCCGTTGCCTGCAGGGTGCCATGGGGTAGTGCGAGACTTCTCCACCTGGTACAAGCTACATAGCTGCTGGATAAGGGATGACTAAAAACTACGGCCTTGGTCTGAGTGGATGCGAGCAGGAACACCAAACTTGCAAAACCACTCCGAAACAAGCACCTGAGCAACAGTTTCTGCCCGCTGATTCAGGGCAAACGGAAGAACCAATTGGAAACCCTCCTCGCCTCCGTCTGGGCTAAAAACACGACGATACAATATGCCCTCCCTATCCACCAGCCGATCCCATTGACGGAGTAACACCAGGGCAGCCTTGGGCAGCTGTCTACGCTCTACTGGGGAGGGGGGGAACTCTTTGTCTCCAAAACCTTAAAATCTGACCAATTACCGGGTCTGACCAATTACCTCTTGACATATGCCCTTGTCACCCTCAAAACCAGGCAACACAGAAACCACTGCCTGAGTTGCCTGTGGACGCAATTCCGCCGCGATCACCTGCTTAACCGTAGCCGGCACGTCAGTTCCCGGCAACAGCGCACTCACCTCACACTGGCCGGAGGGGTCCTGCCTCGAAAGGGCATCCGCATTTCTATTACTCCTACCTGGCCGATACTTAATTGTGAAATAAAATGCTGCAAGCTGGGCAGCCCAGCGCTGTTCAGTAGCAACAAGCTTAGCTGTTAACAAATGTCTAAGAGGGTTATTGTCAGTATAGACAATACATTTGTGCCCCAAAAGATATTCAAGGAACTTTTCAGTAATGGCCCACTTGAGCGCCAAGAACTCCAACTTCATGGAGCTGTAGTTAACCATGTTGCGCTCAGTGGGCCTAAGACTGCGGCTGGCACCATAACTGGTGTCTACCTCTAAAATAAAGGGCAGGGAGAAGTCAGCGTATGCCAACACTGGAGCTGTCGTAAGTCTAACCTTCAATTCTTCAAAGCTCTGTTGGCACTGTTCTGACCAGGCATCAAGAAAGCTCTTACCAGCTTGCACCCGGGGCCTGACATCAGCACACTCAGCCACCACCTGGTGCAGGGGAGCCGCCAACTTTGCAAAGCCCTGCACGAAACGGCGATAGTAGCTGGCAAACCCTAGGAACGAGCGTAATTCAGATGCACTGGTGGAACGCTGCCACTGCGAAACTGCCTCAATCTTCCCGGGGTCAGTAGATACACCCTGAGGAGAGATCACATGTCCCAAATATTTCACCTCCTTTTGAAAGAACGCGCACTTCGCCAATTTGGCCTTCAAGCCCTCATGCTCCAAACGACCCAACACAACCTCCAACCGCTCAAGGTGCTGCGAAACGGAAGAGGAGAATACCACAATATCATCCAGGTACAACAGTAGCGAACTACCCTGTTGGTCCCCAAACATCCGTTCCATCAAACGCTGAAAGGTGCTTGGAGCATTACACAGCCCAAAGGGCATACAGTTGAACTCAAATAGGCCAAATGGGGTACAGAACGCAGTCTTAGGTCTATCCTTTTCAAAGACGGGGACCTGGTTGTAACCACTAACCAAATCCATAGTGGAAAACCAACCGGCCCTCGTCAAGAAGCCTAAGGACTCCTCAACACGCGGGAGGGGAAAAGCATCCTTCCTTGTCTTTGCGTTTAGTTGACGGTAGTCAATGCACATGCGTAGACTACCATCCTTCTTCCTGGCAAACACTATGGGTGAAGCATACGGGCTACAACTCTCTCGGATTACGTTGGTCTCTAGTAGCTGGTTGATATGGGACTTAACAACCTCATATTCTGACGGCGGAATCCGCCTATACCTCTGATGGACGGGCACTGAATCCAATAACGGGATCTCATGTGAAATCAAATCTGTGCAGCCCAGATCACCATCGTGAGCCGAGAACACAGATTGGTATCGCTTCAGCAAAGCCCTGACCTCACCCTGCTCTCCCTGGGACAGGACAGATAAATCGACAGCTTCGATCTGTTCCTGAACCGGGGTGACAGTCTCCACAACCTGAGAGCGCACTAGAACCCCCACCGGCTCTACCTCGGTTATCCCAGCTGGCAAACTTACTACCTGAACACTATTAAGTGTTCCTAACACTGTGCCAGCGTACAGCATTACATCCATGGTCCCTACATTAACCATAGGCAAGTAAACTGTACCACGGACTACTCTAACCAGCGCGGGCGAGGCCAGCAATCCAGCTGGCAACCCGGCCACAGGAGGCTCAAACAACACAGTTCCTTCCGCATACTGTTCAGAACACGTGGCAGGGACAAGCTTTAACATGCCACCCGGAATGCGACACGATTTACGACCCCGCAACTTAGCCTTACCAGTACGCACTACTGAGGACTGGTCCTCCGCCAGATGGCAATATTGTAATGCCTGTAACACGAATTTTGGAGCCTCCACAAAAGAGGGAGATTCAAACAAGCCAGGGCCATACTGTCCAAAGAGCTCCTGGTAGCATCGACTAAGGACATTCATTCCAAGCACTCCGGGAATTTGAGTACTGATGCCCCCAGGAGGATCCCTGACCACCAAGACCCCACACTTAGGAATCAATCGGTTACACATATCAATATCCAATTCCATGTAGCCAATGTAGGGAATTGACAAGCCATTGGCTGCACGAAGTTGGAGCCAATGGCACGATTTTAAACGATCTACGCCCCACGACTGGAAATGCATTTGGAACACCAATGGACCCAGTGTCAACCAAACAAGGCACTTGGATGCTACCGATACGAACAAGCAGATGTGGGCATGAAGACATTAAATGAGATAAAGCAGTACTCGAGCCGTCCTCCTCCCCAACCGCGCTTTGGCTCTGCTGCGCGGTGGGGACTAGTTTCCCGACAACGCAGGTGAGTGAGGCTGTCCACTAACAGTTCGCAACGAAGCATCTGATGAGAAGCGGGTAGACACACGCTCCCCATCGCACTCCCTAGCAAAGTGACCCGGTTTCTGACATCTTCGGCACACAATCTGGTTACGACAAGGGGATTGATTATGGGGCTGAGGGGCCTGTAAACGGGCGATACTTTGAGTCAGAGTACTTATTTGTTCCTGCTGCAACCTCAACATTTCTTTGACTTCTCCCAACTCAGACTCCCGAGATGACCTCACGGTATTCTCACGAGGTTCACCCCGCACCCCATACTGAATGCCATACGAAGAAGGAAGCGAATGACTACGACCCCTTGAACTCCCTGGCATACCCTCCCGTTCCCACCGAAGTGCTTCACCCCGTACGTCTAAGAGGGTCAGAGCGGGTTAGCCTCGCACCAATTGTTTGAGCGCTCGCCGAAGAGCACTGTCATTAACATGCTCGATAAATTGGTCGCACAACAAAACTTGAGAATTTGGCATGGCATAGGGTGATTTTTGCTTCACTTGCTCCAGGAGGCCAAACAAAGCAAGAGAGAACTCCAACAAAGACTCCCCTTCTTGCTGCCTCTTAGAGAAGAAAGCCTCCTGCAAAGATACATATGATTGTGAGCAACCATACAACTCCTTTAGCACCGAAAGAATTTTTGCTGGAACGTTACGTTCATCATCTGAACGATAGCGAATCTCCTCTTTTGCTTCTCCCTCCAAATGGTCAAAGAGGAAGAATGCTTTATCGGACGCAGACATATGACGGGCCTGCATACAAGCCTGAGCCTCCTCGATCCGCTCCCCAATATTAAGACTAGACCTGCCACTAAATTTTGGACACTTTCGGTCTCGTGGTACAAAAACGTATCTCTCTGGCAGGGCAGCATACTCATTACTTGACTGTGAAGTGGAAGGAGGGGGCCCAACAGCTATAGTGAAGGCGGCCCACTAGGACCTGGATGAGCAGATAATTGCTCTTGCCATAACCATTCGTTGTCTGCCCTCAGCTGAGTTACCATCTCCTTTAATTCTCGCAGTTCTTCCTCCATACTTAACCACAACTCTCACTTACCGCAAGAGGACACACCGGACGCACGCTGCTGTTTTATTATTATTTTTATTTAGTTTTTCTTCCGTCTAAATGTTTCACCACAAAATTAGGTCCTACGAAAGACCACAAACAGGAAGAAAAGCAAACAAGCAACCAAACATTAGTAGACAGAGCAACCCAAATACACATGTACATGTATCCACATCTCTCCAAAAAACAAAAGCCTATCCTGCCGACTACGCCAAATGTGGCAATGCTGAGGGGAGGGGGAGGAGAGTTAATGTACGACTAAGTCAGAACACCCCTAAACCAAAAGAAAACCGACTACGCCACCCCGTAAAGAAACGGGGAAATAACCACCCAAATCAGGGACACAGGTTCGTTGGATAAGTAAAACCCAAAGAGACGTGTAAACAATGGACAAATGCTTTATTCAAATTGTCACAACAAATTATTAAAACACTCAAGGGCATCAATGTCATGTGTCGGATCACAATTAAACACCATATATCGGCAGCTCTGTATACTACACCAGATAAAGAAACAATTTAAGCATACTCACGAAGGAAAACAACCAAATAAACAGGCACAGGCTTTCCAGCAGCAAAGGCAGGCTAGCTGAAGTGAAGATCCTATCTGTACGCTAGTGCATCCCACGCACACACTCACACCCACTCACACAGAGTAAAACGTGAATCCAAACAACACCGCACGCCACACGATTGTACCATCACCAGTACTCACTACCAGCTAGCCTCCCAGCCTCGGGCCCTACAGTGCCTAAAACAAACACAAAAGAAAATGTTACATTCCATAACACAATAAAAATACATCCATCAACTTAAACCAAAAAGAAAACAATATGTATAAAGAAATAATATCACAATGTTATATTTACAACAAACAAACAGGAAACAAAATATATAGAGCAGGAAAATAACACAACACAAGAAACAAAGCAAAGAAGCACAAAAGACGAGAAAATAACAAAAGAAAACAGCAGCGCCGTCCTCCTTTAACGCCGAGTGTAGACACTTCCGCCTTCTCCCGCGACTAACCAGCGCAGCGTCAGAGAAAAACCTCAGTGCACTAAAAGAAAGGGGCGATTACTAAAATATCACTTTTCCTGTGAACAAGAGAAAACGGATCGCACCTACCGAAACGGATCGTTGTGCCGCACGAATTGTACCGTTGCTCTCAACTCATAACAAGCATAGAAGCTCATGCAGGAAGACACCTTCACCGAAGAATTTCACAGCTAAGTAGTAAATAAGCACCGGTTAACATCACCCGATGCTAAACGAGCAGCACGTAATACGAGCAGACACATACCTGACATGTAGTGGACAGCCTGCAACCCAACACATCGCATCAAATGGCCATTCCACGCGCATCTATACACGCACACTCCATAGGTGCGGTCCCAGCAGTGACGTACACCAGGTGGCATAACTCCAGCCTTAAATACCCGGAATGACAGGTTCTAATAGGCTATTGTGGATGACAACCACACGCCAATGAGGAAAGATTACGTCACCCATCTTACCACATAAGGAAACTTTGCTTCCTTTGCTCCTATAAACAAACTTGCGAGACTAGCATATCTCAGAGGCGTGTGTGCTGCGCATACGTGCTGCGCATACGTGCTGCGTCATCCGCCGGAACGGCTTCCGCGTATGACAGATAACGGAAGTGAGAGAAAAGTGTTTATTACGGTTAAAATATTGATATTTGTCTTTAAAAAAACACATGGATTCACTACAGGGGGCCTTTATTCACCCCCCGGAGCCGTGTGAGGCACGTTTTATTATGAATGCGTGAGCTTTATTTGACAACTTGTGGACTCTTCAACTGCAACACCCACTGACTGCAATGATAGAGCTTGAAATAGCCAGGACAATTTTTAATATAACTCCGACTGGATTCGTCTGAAAGAAGAAAGTCATATACACCTAGGAGGCTTCGAGGGTAAGTAAAACACAAGCTAATTTTAATTTTTGGGTGAACTAACCCTTTAATGTAACCTTTGGAAAGTAATGTAAAATATAGGAGAATGCTACCGATGTAAAATTTCATTATTTTACACAAGTTAAAAAAGGTTTTACAAAGTTTTTTTGGTCAAACATTTAATTTTTTCCCCTAATTTTAAGAATAACACCTGTCAGGCAGTGATAATAAAGCTCAGACTTGTGTTGCTGTTGCGTTTAACACGCATACGATGATTATATTTAGAGTTGAAAATGAGCTCTGCAGGCTTTCTTAGAACAGCATGTCTAGAAGCATGAGATTCACAATTTGCACAAACTAGATAAAATTAGAAGAGCCTCTACATGAGTCTAAGGCATCGAGTAAACTGAGGAAGCAAACAGAGACTCTGCCGTCTGCAGTCTCAGCAAACAAAAACACATGCCAGCTGAAACTACACAAACACACCCTCCACACCAAGACTCTGTTTGTCTGTTACCATCAAAGAAGTGCATTTATACTAGCTCACTCACCTTGCTTTTCAAACAACTGCCCATTGAAAATGGGTGGATCCACTTTCAATGTTCTTGCACATCACTATACCATGGAGAGGAATGATGCAAACAAATGTTTTAAAATACCAAAAGTCTTTCTGAACCACATTGCTTACAGCTTCCACTCAACCTATTTAGTACAGATCCATGAGGGAAAAAAATCATCAGTTTTTTTTCTTCACATTTTTGTTTTTATATAGATATTTTTTTAAACAGATGCCAATTTTTTTTCCACCAGACTTCATTTCTCATTTTGTTTTTGAATATAATGGCAGGAGCGTTTTCCTTAAACTAGCAAAAACTTTGCATACCCATGAAGGCCATGGATGAACAGAGTGTACAGTCTCTTGGCAAAGAAGTTGAAAAGGCTTTCTCTTCAAAGCAGATTAATAGTTTGAAGGCATTAGGATCAGAGCTTTGAATCCAGGAATGCTTCAGAAGTTGGGATCTAATTTCATTGCTTTTAAACATTAAAAAAAAAAAAAATTCTGTGCTTGTTGAGATTAATGACACATTTTTTGACTTGACATTGTTAATTGGATTATTTATACTTAAGTGGCACATTGGATTTTCCCCATATCATTGGTGAAATAGCTAAGTTCTTTTGCAAATCCTAAGCAGTCTCATGATACGACTGAATATTCACACCTTAATGACTGCAATTTCTACTAGCCAGAGTTTCAAACTGACAGCAGAAGGTCAGGAATCCAAAGCAGCTTTCATTGGCCAAGGACTGCTCAAGAGGACATCTTACCAACAGGCAAAGCAACAAATCACAGTTAATTTCAGCATCATATTTAGGGGCGTGGAAATATAAAGTAGATGTCCCTATATGATGACAGATCGGCGTGCAGTTTAATCAAGAAAGTCATGCAAGTTTCCTGCAAAAAAGGTGCAACAAAGGTGCTGTGAACTTCACATACTTTTGAAAATCCAGTGCTTAGTTTATCATGAAAAGCTGTCATTGTCACAGTTGTAAACACAACGGCTTTCTTCTTCCATAAGGGGCTTTGTCATCATGACTGCTTTGTTTCCAGAGAATTAAAGAATCCTGTAGAATTCAACCAATCAGATGACGACTTTGAAGTGTTTCCCATTTTGTGTGCCTTATGCGTCATACGTTCAGCCACGTCTATGGTCTATGAGCATGACATGTGAGGATGAGACAAGGCTGTCATTGACACTAACCATGAGTATTATTGTGAAAATGTTCAGACATAAATAGATTAAATTTGTCCTATTATGCCATTATAGGAAAAATGTCATTGGAGCTTCTCCATCACTCAGCGGAATACATGACATGACACTTATCAGACAAAACACAAAGGGTATGCTGGTGTTTCTTGCTGGCACAGCTACAACCTCCAGCAGAAATTACTTCTGTGAAATGCTTTGATCAAGGTTTTTCCAAATGTCCCTGCTGATGGAACAATGTCATGCCACTGTAACGTGAATGTCTGAAACTCATTTAGTTGTCTATGAATCAAGGCATTGTACATTGTACATTTTCATTCACATAAATTTTATTTCAGTTAAGGGTGAAATCACACAAAATAGTGATAATGTGCGTATTTCACGTGAAAAAGGTTTCCACATTGTTCCACCAAAAACTATCACACTGTGAATATTTGTCCCAAAAATGACACTTTTATACTTTTTTTTTTTACTGTCAGCTTTTATGAATGTGGGTCAGGGGGTGAAAGCACATGAAACAAATAATATCTCTTAAGTATTACAAGTTATTTTTACATCCAAAAGTGGTTTTCATCCATCTCATCATTTATTCATGACCAACAAGTTCTGTAAAATGAAAAAAAAAAATTGACATTGAGGTCAGACATTAAATTCCCTGAATTTATTTGTAATCCTTTCTTTGGTAGGATGGATGCACTGAATGTGTGAAAATAGCATATTATATCTAGAGGTCTGTTCTTATCTTTTAAACCAGAAGCTACAGAAAATAACGTTTTTTTATGATATTAACCTAATGAATATCACAGGCTTACAGTCTACTGAAACACATTTCAATGAGATCTCAATTAAGGCAAATTCTGATCAAGAACTGTATTTCTGGTCAGCTAATTTTACATATCATCCAAAAAAATAAGTTTATTTTTGTTTCTCAAATTTCCCTGAACCAAAATGAACAGCTCACCTTCCAGATGCACAGACAATTCACAAACTTCAAAGACATGAGTGGGAGAATCTGTTGGCCTGTGGCGTAAAGACTGGGTCAAAAGCCCAAGCAAATATTTCTCTAAAGTTTTGCCTCCACTGTTTAAACTCCTAAATAGATGGATCACAGAATAAAGCAATTCATTTAGAATTATTGGAAGCCACCCAGGTGCCGGCCACAAAGTTTTTCACTCTGTCCTGCACTGAAGACGTCAGGCTTATTTACTGTACATCCCGCCAGAAGTTTGAGTTGTAAAGCACAAGATAATTAATGACACATCTCAGTTTACAGAGCAGCTGGTCTGTTAGATTCGAGCTCCTGCTGTATGTTGGCCATCAGTGCGGTGCTGATGTAGTTCCCCTCCAGGCTGAGGTTCTCAAGGGAACGTTTTCCCCAAGAGTGTAAAGCCTCCAGGTGATAATGTCCTCCAACCTCGCAGAAACCATTATAATCCAAGTCTGCCTTCCTCAGGGTCTTATTTGATCTCAGTGCCTCAGCAAACAGCTTGATACCATTGTCCCCAAGGTTGCGTTCATCTAAGATGATGTGTTCACTTTCAAGCTTTCAAACAAGACTATCCAAGCCTCCATGTCTGAACATGATGTCTGTGCCAGGCCCAGATACTGAAGGAGGGAATGATACCTCATGAAAGTGGCCAGCACCCTCAGGCCCTCGTTGCCAATGCCGTTTCCACCTAGGTCTAACTCTTTGATCACAATGCTAACTGGAGAGAAGTGGATCTGTTCAGAGTTTCCACACAGCGCTGCTGTTTTATCTTGAAGTTCAGCCAATCCACTAAGCAGGGTCTGTACTCCAAGATCGCCAAGTTGGTTTCCAAACAATCTAAAGAAGAAAGAAAATGACCTTCATTATTCATAATGATTTATAACTAACTTCAAGAGTTTCTTTTATTAGAGCAGTTTTGAAAAGTCAGCTTATTTTTGGACAACTTTAGAGGGTCTGCATGAAATGTACAGTAGCTCTTTGATCTGTGGTTTGGCCTGCAGAAGGTCTAGTAAAACATTGACTCCAGGGGGTCCGATTTGGTTCAGATTAAGGTTAATCACTGTGCCTTCGGATGGTCTTCTCTTGAGCGCCATTGCCAAACTCTTGAGCAGTTCATCAGTCAGACCTGTGTTTCTCAGTATTAGTTGATCCACTTCGTCAGAATTGCTCAGCACTTCTGTCATGGCATCCACCTGAAGCAATGACAGCAGATTCTACTTATAATATATTGTTAGTAAATGTCAATAAATGCATAATTTTTCCATATAAAAATATAATTTGCATGTATTTATTAATATGGTACTCTAAATCCTTCTTACTCTCAGAAAGCCACTCAAATCAAACTCAAAGACCAGGACTAGCTGTTTTATTCAATATTGTGGCTTTCTGCTCATTCAATTTCCCATCTTGATTTTTACAATTGAATTATTGGAATATTAACTTAATCCAGCACATTATCTCTGAATTTACCGACCGTGAAGACTGTATGATTTATAGAGAGGCTATAAGATACTGTTAAGATATAGGAATGTTTGAGTAAAGCCAGACTGAGTGTGACCATTTTCTCTCTTGCTGTAAAATCATGCAACGTCCTTTGCTTAATTGTGCAGAACAAAGGCAGAGCCTAGTAAGACAGGGCTTATGATATATCATAGCTGTATCTGTAGAAATATCTATGGATCTAATTTTGTAGGCATTTTAGCACTTAATTTTTAAAGTTAAGATTACCTGTTTTTGTAAGTCTTCACTCACGGCGTTAC